GTTTTTAGCCTGATTCATTATGGTTTTAAATGGGTTAAAAACTGTCTAATGAAAAAAAAATTCAGGTGAGAGTGAAAAAAAAATGTAAAATATTATGTTTCATCCTCAATATGTCTAAAACCACAGCAGCTGTTTTAATACTTACACTTGTGATGAAATCTTCCAAGTGTTGCTTTATTTTGATACTAATATTATTTAAGTAGAGTTTGTAAATGCTGAAATACACTCAGCTACATTTCAGCATGGGATTTTGACCAAAAACTTCAAGGAGCTTAAGAGGTTAACTCATTAAAAAATCTGCAACCCATAAGTCTGGACACACATGCAGCTTTTATGATCCAGATCCTTTGGAGCTTTGACCAAAAAGTGATTCTTCCTCGTTCTGCCATGTTTGAACTGGGAGTGATGCAGAACAAAGCTGGAAAGGAAAAACAACCTATTTGTGTTACACTCTTGGTGAGATTGTGTTCAGCTGAATCTCTACAAAGAGAGGAAGCAGCAGTTTGACCTCTGTCCTCCTGATTGATTCAGCTTAGTGTGAGTGTCAAAACAGCTTCTTTCAAGGAAAACACTGGAGATTCTTGGAAAGGCGTGTCTGAGTTTCTATCCAAGTCTGAGTTGGACGACTTGTTTGTCCCACAGGTTCCACGCAGAACGTGCCATAGACATCATTACTCATATTCTGCCTGAGGACCACCTTCTGCTGGCGTCCTCCAAGAGAGTCAAAGGTGAGGCATGGTCCCTGGGCCTGCTGCCCACTGAGTGAAGAGCACATGACCACACACCAGGAGTATTTTGTGTTTGCAAACAAGCTGTAACACCAGGTCTTGGTTCCCTTCAGCTCTGATCCTGGAGGAGATCGCCATCGACTGCCACAATAAAGAAACAGAAGAGCGTCTCCTGCAGGAGGCTCATGACCTGCACCTCTCCTCCCTGCAGCTGGCCAAAAAGGCCTTCGGGGAGTTCAACGTTCAGACAGCAAAACACTACGGCAACCTGGGACGGCTCTACCAGTCCATGAGGAAGTTTAAGGTTTGTTTAAACTGTTTCTGTACGGCAGGGGCGGGGCCACAGGGCCACTGGCCCCTGATGAAATTTGATTGAAAGCGATGATGCTGGGTGCAGTTCCATGACCAAACACTGGAGGTGCTAATGAGTAAAACAGGAAAGTCCAACAAGAATCAAATTAACAGACCTCTTCTTAAAGGGATCCATGATTAGTTGTAACATTAGACTTTATTTGATAAACATTTATTTTAACAGTAAAATAAAAATGTAAAAATACTGTAGACTGTTTAGTTTTGTAAATTTTTAAAAATATATTTTAACATGGACGGAGCCATTTTATTTACATGCAAAGCATTCTGGGTAAATGATGTCGACAGGTCCTCGGTGCGAGGCTGCTAGCGAGCTATATCCACCCTGAAGGTTAATCTTGGACAAAGGCTGTGTCCAAAACGACAGGCCGGGTCCTCCGGAGGACCC